TTTTTCCGATTCTTAAAAACTGACCGAAAAAGTGCCACCAAAATCTCTTTCACTGTGCCTCATTCTAGCTAAAATGGCCCTTATTCTGTCAAAAACCTCCCAGCTCGACCTCACCGTCACCCTTGCAGGGATGTAGGGTACCTTCTCACTTATAGGCTCCAACTCGTACTCCTACAGTTACGGTCGCACCAATCTGCACAATCGATTTAAATACAATGTATCAACAAAAAAAACCAAAACCACGTAGTCGCTTAAGCGATCTCGGATCGCTTAGAGATCTTTACTGTCTCATGCAAGATCGCTTAAGCGATTTTAAATGCCTTAAGCGACTAAAGTTAACTGAGAATCTCTTAATCTGTGATTCTGCCCAGACCTAAGACGCTTAGCAGACCAAGAGTAAACACTCATGATCTCTTAAGCGATCTTTGGTCTGGGCAGATCATCTGCCCAGATCTCAGACGCTTAAGCGTCATTGCTGCGATCACAAGTAAAACAGAATAATCGCTTAAGCGATCATTGCTGCGACACGAGTAAAACAGAATAATCGCTTAAACAAATGTCGCTTAAGCGAAATTACAAGCAACATTCCAAACTACGTACCTATCGTCGCGGCCTTTCCTCGTCGCCGGATCCTCCGGCGGACTCTCTGGCTGAATTCTCGCCGGAATCCACTCCTGGCCTGAATTCTCTCCGGAATCCTCCTTCGGCCTGAATTCTCGCCTGACTCCTCGTCTTCAGACCCCTTTGTGGTTCTCCCTCTGTTTGTGCGCGCCGGTTCCTCTACGTGTGGACCACCTTCAATGGTCAGATGATCCACCGGAGCAGCCATTGAACGTGCGCCACCGAAATCTAGGATTCGAAGTGGCGTTGGGCTTCCTCCTCATTGTCAGTGTCACTCATGGTTTTGGATTGAATTTGTTGTCAAAGTTTGCAGTTTCGAGCGAAATCTGGACTGTATCACCGGAAATGGCACAGTTTTCGTTTACGGTTAAGGAAATCGATTTTAGGGTTCAACAATGGATCGAAAACGCGACTATATCGCCGAAAATCGCGACTGTATTCGGTTTAGGGTTCAAGAAAATTGATTTAGGGGCAAATCAATTGGTGTTCGATCGGAAAAAATCGCGTCCCCTTTCGTTCAAGAAATCGCGTTTTCAACTGATGAATTCGATATAGGAGGTGGAATAGTTAGTGGGGCTTGTTTTGCGAAATTTCAAATTTTGGAAACTTTCATTATTTCTGATTCGGCCCACATATGTTTTAATCTTTATTTAACCCTTTTACGTGTTTAATTAACTAACTATGCCACGTTATCTCTCTAAATTATAAAAAATTTGATGAACAGTTTCAAGGCCATTTTCTAAATACATACTGGGGGGACCGGGCAGCTAAAATTTCTCCAAAAAAAAAAAAAAAAAACATAAACCGTTTAAGCTTAAATCGGAAATGGATGATCGGCGGGCAATGGCAGGAGGGAAATTGAGAAGAAAAGAGAGAGCCAAGCGCACAAGCGCCCTTATCAAGGAGGCATATCATTCACAAATCAAAAGGCCGCACATCCTCAAGAACCCTTATGGTTGACACCATAGTCCAAAAAGCGGGCATCAAGAGCACCGATGTAATCTTGAGATTAGTCCCGGTACTGGAAACCTCACCAAGAAGCTCCTAGAAGCTGACAAAATGGTCATCGCCGTCGAGCTCGATCCTGCATGGTTCTTGAGCTCCAACGTCGCTTTCAGGGCACCTATTTAGACCAAGTTTTATTTTCAAAATTGTTACTAATTATTGCCAAGGTTCCTGAAGAAATTAAAATTGAATTAAAAGCCATTAAGATTCTCTATATTTTCTACTTGCATTGTTTTTTTTCTTTAAGGTAGATGTTAAAAGAAGCTTTCTTTTGTTTCAGTATCTTCATTCAACCTTGCTAATATGTTTCCTTGATCTGTTTTTTAGGTGTAGAAGTCATAAGTTTTTTTGTTTAATTATGCTTATGTGCTTTGTAATTATCGAAAGAGAAGGTGATCTCAATACTGTCTGTGTGTTTAAGCTTAACTAAAATTCATTTCTTTGTTCTGCCCATAACGTTCTCAGGTCGTTAGGTGATGTGCTGAAGACTGATCTTCCCTATTTTGACATAGTGTGGCAAACATTCCTTACCATATCTCCTCTCCCTCACGTTCAAGTTGCTATTTACCAACCTGCCTTCAGATGTGCCGTCATTAGTTTCAGAAAGAATTTGCAATGAGACTGGTGTGCTCAGCCTGGCGACAAGCTCTACTGTCGTTTTCTGTGAATAAAAACTCTATGCTCGAGTCTCACCTCCTCAAAGTCGGAAAGAGTAATTTCCGTCCACCACCTAAGGTTGATTCTTCAGTAGTTCAAATTGAGCCTAGAAAAACCCCGCCAAATGAATCCGAAGGAGTGGGATGGATTTATAAGGATGTGTTTCATACGAAAGAATAAAACCCTTGGCTCAATTTTCAGGCTGAAAAATGCCCTTTCTCTGCTTGAGAAAAACTACAAGACCCTACAGGCACTAGGGTGCTCACAGAGTACTTCCATAGAGAATATTGATATGGAATGGATATATCGAAATTGGGAAATTCTAATGAGGATCAAAGTATGGAGATGGAGGGGAAGTGATGATGAAATGGAGTGGAGAATGGTGATGATGAAGGCGATGCAGAAAGTGAGGTTTCTGAGTTCAAAGATAAGGTTTTGGGTGTGTTGAAGGAGGGACAATTCGAAGAGAAGAGAGCATCTAAGCTCACACAACAGGAGTTTTTATATCTACTTTCATTATTCAACAAGGCTGGCATACACTTCTCTTGATGCAGAGTCATAAAGATTTCATACGTATCTGAAGAATACCCAATTTTGTGTCGTATAGCAAGTAGTCCTTCGAGTATAGGTTTGTTTTGTTCTTAATTTCTTGCGGCAGTTGTGATTGAGTTTGGACCTGTGCAACAAATCAATTATGATGAGAATTAGTCATGTGGAAGGGGCTGTTAATCATCGGATACCTCTTCATGGTTTGACATTTATTTTCCATATAGTAACTTTAGAAAGGTTTATAGCTCCCCATTGGTTTCAGAAAATCTTCAGAAGATGTGACTTTATCCTTTTTGTACAGGATCTTCTAATCGAATATTATGTCTGTATACTCGGACTGGGTTTTCATGTCAGCTAATTAAGCACATGATGAATGAAATCAAAAACTAAGCTTGACGAGCGCGAATCAATTCTATTCATATTGATTAATGTTCACAAACCTGTTCATAAGCGATCGTAGCCGTGACGCTGACGTACTGTGTTTTACTATTTTTCTGAGAAATCCTTGTCTATTATCTGCAATTATCTTACTCAGTATGGCGCTCTAAGTAAAACAGGGTTTATATACTTAATTAGTCTTCTCTTGTTATTTAATTGACAATGGTGATCGTTAGATCTTCATTTAGATGTATGATGAAATTGGATGGATATTCACTATTCGCAAAAGTTTACTGTCTATGAACGTGCAACAATAATGAATTAATCATTAAAAATCTAAAAAAAAATTACGACTCTTCGGTTGGGGAATATATGAGACTTTGACTGAATACGCCATCAATTAACAATTAGAATACAACAGTGAAAATAAAGCAATTTGCAAATATAGTGATGGGTAGTATTTGTTAATTTAAAAAACACGTGACCACGAAAGAGATTTTCATAAGTATCGGTTTGAGAAACGAAAAGCCTGCCATTCCAATCCGCTCCGCCGCCCTTCTTCCCACTTCCCAGCGACGAGGAGGTAAGTTCTCCTACCCCTTGGCTTTTCTTTTTTACTGAAAATTAAAGAAGAGAGCTTAAAATTAAAGCATTTCTCTTGGTTGAGAGGGCCGGCAATGAAATTGTCTATCAACTGAGAAATATAAAATAATAGAATTCATATACATATACATGCTATTTCGGATTTCCTAATTAATCTGTATTTATACAGTTTTTGCAAGTTTCCTCTGCGTGCCCAGTAATAAGATTTTTGCATATTTAATTTTTGGCTCTTTGGAAGCTATATTTATGCATTCAAATTAAATGGGTTATTTGGTATATTGTCGATCTTATGTACCTAATGCACTGATTAACATAATAATACATTCGAGCTTCTCATTATTATCCTCTTTTAATTTTGTTGTCTGGTTCTTAATTTAAATTGTCATTTTCCTCCTGTTGTTAAACTGGTAATGTTGCAGTAGATGGAGGCTCAATTACACGATGCGATTCCTTCTAAGCCTCGGGTTGGGGCTACACTTCGCCTTGGGTCTGAAATATATTCAGTGAATGCGGCTAACAAGGGTACTCTTTCAGAGCAGTTAGCTTCAATGAAAGAGGAAAGCATGAACATATTGAAAGACTTCATCACCAAACACAATGTCCCAAATGATGTTCCTGATGAATTAGTTGAAATCTCTTCTGAAGATGATGCTGATGTCCCTGAGAAACCTCATGTCAAGTCAAAGAAAACAAAGTTAACTTAATACTTCTCTTATTCTGGGTTTAAACCCCAAAATTTCTATGGGAAAGTCTTTATTAATGTCTGTAAAACTTTCTGTAGCTAATACTGTCGTACTAGCTTTTCGTATTGCACTTCCTGTTTAAATACTTGCAAAATTCTATTAGGCTGATGCTTACTGATTTTTAGCTTTATTCTCCTTGGATGCGTTTGTAAAACAGATTTTTTTTTTTTAATCATAGATCTTGTTAAAACAGGACCAATCTCTCTTAAGAACAATGAAAAGAATGCACAAAGTTGCCAAAATACAAGGTGATGCTAAATCCTCTTTTTGGTTTGACTTGAATCAACTTCATGACTTAGCTCAATGTTTTTGGCTACAGTTCTGCATCTACCACGAACTGAAAACAGGTCTGAATTTTTGCTATCGCTTACATTTCTACCCAGCTATCTATTTCACATTTTAATAAACAAAACAACAATGCTGCATAGGAGATACAGCATATGCTCAAACATATCCTTTGTTGTGGATGTATCTGATGGCTTCCATGAGATGTTCCTTATTCAATGGCTTGACTAAATGAACGTCCATTCCAGCCAGAATTGTTTCATCCGCTACATCTCCTGAACCATGAGCAGTTAATGCAATGATTGGTATATGAACTCCATATCGCTTCTCTTCCTTGCGAATCTGTTTCGTTGCTTCTTTGCCATCCATTTTTGGCATCTGCAAAACACAAAAATTCTAACTCAACTTTAAAGGACAATGGTTCCAGTGTTTTTATCCAGAAATGCTGCAAAGTAATCATCTGCATATGTACTTGAATATTTGTGTTTCGGATTTATGATATCTAACTGTAAGCTACTATGAATATCAAATATGCATTTTATTTTGAAGAGAGAGTATAAGTGGAAACATAATCTTCACCTCGCAGTCCATTAATATAAAATAGTAAGGAAGAATGTCAGGAGCTAGACCAACAAGGACTTTTTGTAGAGCTTCTTCGCCATTTTCACATGATTCAACAGTTGCACCAAGATTCTCAAGACTTTGCACGGCGAGTCTGCGTAATAGTGGACTGTCATCAGCGACCAAGATTCTCTTCCCACTCAAGGGTTTCCCATCACTTGCTTCACCATATTCTTCTTCTATTTCTGTCTGTGTAGGTAGGTTTCTATCCTTCGATTTTTCACTGTTTGAGATCCCCTCTTCTGGTGTCTCTATTTTTGACCTTACATAAGAGCTCTTTGCATATGACTGACTGGGATCTCTAGAAGTCTCCCCAACTTGAAATCTGCTTTTTCTCATTGATCTAGCCGAATTTCCTTGTGATAAGGTACCCCCAAATTCTGGTAGAAACTTTATTATCTTACACAAACGAGACCCATGAAAAGGTTTTGTTATTATTTCGTCGTTTGGATCAAGCATCTCCCCTTCATCGAAATGACTGCTACGTGAAGTTGGTTTACCCAGCCAAACGACCTTGCAATAACATTGAAGGCCTCTTCTAAATTCAGTCACAGCGTTGTAAAGTTCTTCGAATGGTCCAGAATTAGCATCAATCACAAGAAGTACGAAGGCTGCACCTCTTCTTTTGTATGCAGGTAGCTTATGATCGGTTCCTTCCATGGCACTTAGGGGTACATCTTTTGAGCTGGAGCTAGAAATATCACTCCTGAAACTAATATCTGATTTTCGAAATGAGCCATGAGGGGAATGGTTGAGCTTTGATTTCATCTTCTTGAGCAAAGATTGAAGACGCTCCCATTGATTCACAACCGAAACATTTATCCCAAGACTTTCCATGAATGTTTGTGAAATTCTTAGGCGTTCCTCATTTGAGATCAACAGAACAACTTGGGATCCCCCAAGCTTGGGACTAGAGCTAAGAATAGTCAGTCTGGGACTTGGGGTGCGAATGGTCAAGCCAGGAGTAGGAGCAGAAATGGTCAACCCCATATGATGTTGATGCTGATGGTATTGTGTGCTACTTGAGGCGAAGTCATCTCTCAGCTCAGTATCTCCTTTGATATTATCACCGGAGGAAGTCTGATCACTTACGCTCAGGAAAACATTGAACCTGAAGCAAGTTCCACGTTCTCCAGGCGCTTTATCCACAATTCCTATATCTCCACCCATCAGACGAACCTGTTGGAAATTAAATGTATCGTAACTAAGGCGTTATTTCAGTAGGAAATTAATGTTGGATTAAACTAAAGTTGAGTTTAAAAGAATGAAGTTATGCAAAACTATGAACGTACCAGAGATTGAACAATTCCAAGTCCTAAGCCAGTGCCTCCTTGTCCATCTTTGACTTGTACATAATTCTCAAACACCAACTTTTGCTTGTCTTTGGGAATTCCTTTACCTGTATCACTCACTTCAAAAACAAATTCCATAGCATTTGGATTGTTACGCGCTGCATTCACAACTTGTAAGTCATCGTTTGCTTCATTGCTCTTGTAAAACAATCTGGATAAGCGTTGTAACAAGCCATTCCGATTAGAAGCTAGCATTGAAGTTTCTAAACTAGGCTTCCGAACCCAAGCTCGAACTGATATATGCCCCTCAGAAGTAAATTTAACAGCATTGCTAAGTAAATTGCTTAATACTTGCTTGAGCTTTCCCCTATCTCCTTTAACATAAGCAAACTTGATCACCGAGCCGTCATAAGGATCTAAAATCACATCGACCCCTTTTTTCATGCCAACAGGATGATACAAGTCCACTACATCCTCAAGAAACTCGCTCAGATTAAAATCTTCATCGACGAGTTTCATCTTTCCAGCTTCAATTTTACTTGTATCAAGAATAGAGTTTAATAAATCTGAAAAACAAAAACAAAAAAAGTCAATACTTCATTGTTAAGAGCATTACCTGAATCGTTTACAGATTGAACAACAATTAAACTTACTCAAAAGATCCTTTGCACAGCCGTCCATTTGTCTTAGATTTGTCTCCAAGTCTGAACCAGGAGCAACTTCATTATAGGATATACCTATCAAACCAGTAATGCCTGCTAAGGAAGCACGAATGTCATGACTGGCACTTGCAAAGGCTGTACTCTTATTCATGCTTTTTCTTTCTGCTTGTTGCGTTGCTTCCATTTGTTTAATGAGTGCAGCACATAGGTGCATCTCCCTTTTTGCACCTCTCACCATCATGAACACGAAACTAAGAACGGAGATTACGACGCTGGTAATCATTAAAGCAAGTAGAATGAGGGCAAACTTGCTAGTTTTGTGAACAAGGCTGACCAGTCCTTTCTGTGGCACGGCCAATGCGTAAACCTGAAACCAAAATACGATTCAGTTATACATATTTATAATTAAATTTGTTACAATAATCATTGAGTTTAGTGATATTTCTGAAATAATAATCACTGAGCTTAGTGATAGTTGAGACAAAGAACTATACATACCGATTTTACGCCGGCGATTTCAAGCAGTGAACAGTAAATATTATAATCCGTTTCCGCAATTTTGACAATATTGGTGATGGCATTACCAGGTGCGCATGAAACATATTCAACGTGACTTAATTGTTGACCATTTGTCTTCTTCAACTGTAAGGAAATCGAATCATGAGTAACGATCATACGAGTGTTTGGGAGCCCTTCAACCAGCACTTCCCCATCGATTGTAGTCATGGACAAGCTCCCACCAAAAAGATTTATACCAGCAGTGTAGAAATCAGTTATTGTTTTAACTGGAAACCCCAAAGAGACAGCCCCTCTAATTCCTCTTACACTAACTGTGTTAAGAAATAGAGAATTACCAGCTTTATTCCATCCAGTTCCTAAAGAGGCATATCCAGTTGTGCTATTTAAAGCTTCTTGCAACCAGGTGGTGTTTATACTTGAGGTAGGAATTATAATGGCTTCTCCATAAACTCTCCCAGTAATAATGTCCACGGGTTGTCTGTACCATGTGTAGTTCTTTCTTGTCACACTTGACTGAAAAGAAAATGAAGAGTTGAAGAACACAGCTAGAGTTTGATTGTTGTCTATATAGTAGGAAAAGAAGAAACCATCCAATCCAATATATGAAATCTGTGAAATGTGAGGAATTGTTGAAAATGCTTCAAACAATGAAGGAGCCACCTGTAACAAAGCGTGGTCTCTCCATTTTAAATCAACCAAATCAAATTAAAAAGTAACGTTAATAATTAATGAGACGAGCAATGTTTATATGTAAGAACCTTAGTCTCGATCTTGGAGAAGGAGATTTCAGTTCCATTCAGAGATGAGCTTATAACTCTTGCTAAATTCGTTGCCATTGAATTCATCGGATGTAGTAGTTTTGATACGCTCTCAATCTCTGATTGCAATCCCAAGTGCAAGTTGTAGGTGTCCAAATCCACATCCTGCTTGATACGCTGGATCATCTTATACCAATATGGGGCGATTAGTAAACTTGGGAGTAGCAGCACCACGAATGCCTGCATTTTTTATTATTTATTTTTTTTCAAGAGAATATTATAGTTAAATTAAAATCTGAATAAAGTAAACTCATTGGCATTAATAATTACACCATAGAAATATTGCACATGCTATATTTGTTCGGTATGCATATGGGAATATATGTAATCAATACATATGTTCGATTTTTTCAACAACCATATCCAAACTAAACAGTTGTCAGTGTCTAATTCTCTCTCTCTCTCTCTTCTCTCTCGAGATATATATATATAAACTAAAATAAGAGTAGTAATCAATATCAATTAAAGTTTATTGTGTATGTTAAGCACTCACCAACAAGGTGAAGACGGTGATGAGAACAGGTCGTGCTGATATCATGAACTGAGCTTCATTGTGTCTTCAATGTGTGATCAACGAAAGGTTATATCTGCAATCTCGCGTTAATAGTCAATAAAAACATGAAAAAGTACACACAAAAAATCTTCACATGCATTGTCATAACTCATAAGTGGTATTCCTCCTTCTCATCCTCCATATTTAACACATCTTACTAATTAATAATGTATCTAACATGCATATTGTAAGCAAATCTTTAATTAAGAGTGTATTCAAAGTTGCAAGTTTTATGTACTACGTTTTCATGTGGAGAAAAGTAAAATCCCAAACAACCTCTTTATATAAACACAAATAAAGAAAAGAAGAAAAAAATTAAACTGTACTTAGATTGATGTTAAAAAGTTGTTTCAAATAAACAAAATAAATCTTAAATAACTTCCCCCGCTCTCATCCTAGAAATCAGGGCTTCAATAAGCTTAGAGGTGCTTGGTGTAGAAGGTGACTGTATATTTATAATCAAGTTTAAAAGCTCCTCTTATGAGGGCAAAAGGATTTGTTTTTCCTTTTTAGTGATTTAATGAGCATTAGGGTTTTCCTAATTCTGTTTGGTTAGTGGTAATACAGCATAATGGTTTGGTTATGCAGTCATGTCGGCATTAGGTTTAATTCCTCCAAGAGGAGGGGGTGGGCAGCAAACTGAGACGACCATAAGTTATCTAAACTCCATCTACGTCTTGAAGGTATTGTGGATAGGGTGGTCGGGAAATCAAATGCATGCTAACGGGCTCACCAATCAGTTCATTATTCTATTCTAAATTCTAATCTATATACTTAAAGTGCTTAACAGATAACTACTGTAATACTTTTTTTTAAGGTACTAAAATGCCTCCCTTACCCTATCTAAGTATCCAGCCCTTAAGGGTAGGCTCAGATTTTAAATAAAATTACTAATATATTAGCTCACAAAAATTGCTTATAATATATATATCGACTCAACCTCAGATTTTTAAAATAAAAATTATTATACATATATCTAGGCTACAAAAAAATTGTTATTAATATATATATTTTAAGCCCAGATCATATTAAAAGTTTAAAACTATCTCTACTCTTTTTCTCCACAGTTCCACCAGCTTTTTATGAGTTTATCCTAAAATTCTTTATTCTCTTATTTTTTTCTCATGCTATTCGCTTTTAAAACTTTTAAAAATTAAAATGTTGAAGCTTTCACTATTCAAGGTGTTATATTGCTCGTTTCAATTTATTTATTTTAGGATTGAATCATGCTTTTTTTTTTTTAAAGATTTTTTATTAATTTAAAGAAAAAGACATGGATCTTATAGTTTATTTTATGTTTTGTATCTAAGAATGAACATGTTTCCCAAACTAAAACTTAAATATATTTTAAAGGCGTTATTCTTCACCCTTCACCTACCATTTCTCACATTTCAAATGTCACCATTCAGCACTCAAAATTATTATAAAAATTTGAGTTACTAATTATTATACAAGGAAATTCTTTTTTTTTTTTTATTAATTCATATTAAAAGTCAAGTAACATTGTTTTGACTTAAGTTTTGGTTGACTTTAATTTAGGTTAGGTCTGATCAATGTTATGAAAATTATAGATATCGTTTTTTTTTTTTTTTTTTTTTTTTTTTGAGTTTTGAGTACCTCAGATACACAAACAGTGAATCCATAAAGGTTACAACAAGAATGCAATAAGGTAACATATAGAATATAAGTGACATATAATAAGAACTCCAAATACGTAAAAATATCAACTTAATATGGAAAATAATCTCAAATATCCTATTCAGTTTTATATTGATTCTAAATGCATGATTTACCTCTAGATCTCTTCTCTGTCAAGTCAAGAAGTGAATAAATCAAATGAAACAAACACAAAAGTAATAATATATAGGAGATAAATAAAGAAAAAGAAAACCTAAAGGAAATATATGGTTTAAAGAAGAAAATAAAAGGACCTGCAAGACTGCGCCGGAAAAAAAGGGTGACAAGGGAATGGTAGAAAATCGATGAGCTTTGTGTAAAACTGAAGGAAACTGTGAATGTTTTTTTTTTTTTTTTTGTTTTTTTTGTTTTGTGGTTAGTAAGAGGAGGAACATAGGCTTTATATAATAGAAATGAGAATTAATCAATGTTAAGTATAATAATAAGAGTTGGAAATATAAGGAAAGAAAATGGCATTCTCGCTATATTACCGTGAAAAGGTACAAGTCTATCAGGTATTTTCATTCAAAAAATCTACTTGAATGTCTAAAATTAAATAAAACACAGGGAATCAATAAACAGGTTTCGTTTAGAGCTCCACGTAGGCTCCATGCAACGAAATCCTCTCTGGGCGTAACTTACCTTACTTACCTTTCCACTCTTTCTTTCACTTGTTGGATTAGCCATACAATAATGTTTTGGCACACAGTATTCATCATTGCCTTCTATGAGTAAATTAAGGTGCGTTTGGTTTATTATTTTGGATAGGATTTTGGAGATAGTGTTGGATAGTTGAATAGGGTGATTATTACGAGGTAAATTTTAAAAATTTAAAAAAAAACCCCTAGGTTTGCCAATTTAACTAAACACCCCAATATATAAAAATTTTATAAAATGTAAAAAGCACCCCCACTCATCCACAGTGCTAGATTTCGGCCACCACCGCTGGAATCTGGAGTTACAACGCAGATTACGTGGATCTGGTCGGACGTGCGTTGATTTGGCATTTTTTAGCCAAATCCACCACGGATCTGACCTAAAAAGCGATCTGGTCGTCAACGGCCGCAAAAGGGCAGATCTGGCAGTCAACGACGACCATTTCTTTGGTCGTTGCTGAAGGCCAAATCAGCGAATTACCAGCCATTTTCGATCTTTTTTAGGCCATTGTGACAGATTCCGACTACCACCGATGGTAGTTGTCGGAATCTGGCAACTATGGGTGGGTGGGGTGTTTTTGTTAATTTTTAAACTTTTTTTTGGGGGTACTTAATGAAATTAATAAATTAAGGGGTCTAAAGTAATTAAAAAAATATAATAGTATTTCCTAAATAATTAAACAAACAAATATTTTGAGAATAGAATTGGGAATATGGATTGAAATATTAAACCAAACGCACCCTAAGCTGTTTGGCTTTTTTTTGCAGAAAAGGAAAACCAAATAGGTAACTAGCTACAGCTTCAAAAAATAAAGATAAGTAATTTTAAATTCCAGTCTGAGGCCGAGTAAAGCAATATATATATATATAATCTTAAAAACATAAAAATAAAAAAATAAAAAAAAAATAAAAACAGTATAAGTATACCATGAAAACAATATCATGTTATATATCTAGTAGGAGAATCAAAATTATATTACATTGATGGAAGTTTTACTAAATTTTACAGTAGTACTCGTTTTTTTCCTATAATTAATCACACTATTAAATCAAATATCCATCAGTTAAGCACTGCACTTACATAAGTTCATGAATGTGGTTCATTATTGATTGCGGCATCTCTTTCCTTTATAGAATAAACTCTTTATTATGTTTCCATAAAGTTGACAAAGCGAAAATAAAAGTATTTGAAACGTATGAATAAATTCGCTTCTCTGAAATTTTTCAATTTCATTATTTTATAAAACAACTATTAGTGTTGTACTTATTGGCTTTTATATATATATATGAGATTCAAAGATAGTTTTAAGGAAGATAGATTTTTTTTTGATAAAAATCAATGTATTACTGGATGATTTATTTAGGTTATAATATCATAATACATGTATCCAATTAATTATTATACAAGTATTTGCTACTTTAGTCATCAATCAACTTCATGTATTAAATATTAATTCAATTTGTTAAAGAGTATACTGTGTATTACAATCCATTGTTCTCAAGTTTTGGAAATTAGAATAATATGATAGATTTAAAATTTTAATCAAATTGTTGTAGAATGCGTACTAAATGAAAAGAAAAGAGAATACAACAAAATAAAATAAAAAATGTTATTTTTTTATTTTTTTAGTAAAGAATTGATATTTATCTCCCAACGGAAAATAAAATTAGCCTATAGAGGATGGTGAGTTTAAATGAAAAAAAAAGGTGATATGATAATAACTCTTGTAATCCATGGAGATACTATCATTAATGTAAAAGGTAAAGCTATTTATTATATTTCTAGTTTTGAGATCTTCTACTAGATTTTTACATTTAAAGTAATTCTAAGTGTTTCAATATTTGAAAGAAAAATTATATATATATATATATTCCTTTAGTTTATATATAATATTTTAAAATAATTTATCTATAAAATAAAAATTCCACAAGTGGGCTTCTACTCCAAGTCTGTAACTCCCTAATTTAACCGAACAGCTATTTCTTAACAAGTTATATTATTATCACAAAGGTAAATTTTAAAGTCGGACTAATCGCATCGTTATATCCACTGCTCACTGACCCGTCTCAAAGATGATGCAATTAGTTAGTGTTTGGTTTAGGGAATATTTTATTATAAAGAATGTTATATTAATGGAAAGATAAATTTATTTAAGGAACGTTTAGTTAGGGGTTATATAGAATTATTGAAGTTATGTCATCTTATGTTACTTGATTACTACGTTTGATTGCCAAGTAATACAAATTCCAATATCAATAGTAGTTACTATTGATAATATTGGAGGTAATCTAATTACCTCAATATTCTTAGGTATTTTAAGATTACTTGGTTATCTTGTTTTTGTTACAATTTTATCCCTTATTAATAAATTTTTTGGACAATAATACCGTTGTTTTAAAATCAATTTACATGAATCTAGTTTTAAAATTTTACCCCAATTAATTAACTTTTTCGGACAAAATTATCCTTAAATTCAAAACAAATTGCAGCCCACCTAAGCCACCACCCCTACCCACCTACTGCTATCGGCTAGAGATCTGGCCGTTTTTGGCCAAAAATGGCCATATCGGCACATAGTGGCCATGTCCAGCCTTCCGTGCGCCGTTAGGTTGCCAACTACTAGTGACCGACAGTGGTTGGGTTAGTGGGGG